CACAAATAAAAAAAATGTGAACTTTTTCAACATAATTTTTTGAAGCTCTGCATCTGGATGTGGGTCGGTTTTGTTTGAATTTATTTTAATGCCCAGTTTCTCTCTTTCTTTGTAAATTAGATTAGGCAGAATTTGGAGAACTTTCTTATTTTTGACATAGTTACTTTATCGTCAGCGTGTACTGTACATTAAGTAGTTCCCCGGTGATTTTTATTTCATATGATGGCAAAGGCTGCAACAATGTTGGGGGCAAAATGCAACCTTGTCAGATTCCTCATTGTATAGAAATTTCGTCGGTGTAGTTGTCTCAAATTTTACGATAGCAGTTTGTTTCCAGTACATATTTTTAATCACACGAATAACTTTTTCATTTATTTCCATATTTTTTAGCATCTGCATTAGTTTTACATACTGTACTTTATCGAAGTTCACGAAATATGCAAATACATTGTTTCTTTGAATATAGCATTTTTGTTATAGGATATTTAGCTCAAAAAGTGCCTCACTAGATTCCATAACTCTTAAAACCAAATTGGGTATTTTCGAGATCTTCTTTTTATTTGCATATTTTTCTTGTTCTTGTAGTACCTATCCGTTTCGGATCTTGGTGCTACAGCAACCTATATTTTTCGCTGTTCCTCGTGTTGTGATCGAGGTATTCGATTTTGGCTGTTTTTTTTTGTGGTTAGCAACTCTTTTCCTTTTTAAATTCTCAATCAAACGTTCAAGTTAGTAACGTGGTCAATATAGGATATCTTCAGTATTCGACGATAAAGCCACATTTCAAAATCCTCAATTTTCTTGCATGTAGCGTATGTGAAAGTCTATGACTTAACTACGTACAACAGTATAGAAAAGATATAACATTGTAGTAACCTAATTTTTATGGTTACTGATAAATCATGGCATTTGAATACCTTAGCCATTTTTTTAAATACAGATCTTGCTTTCTTTGTCTACATTTTATTTCTAGGGAATGGTCCAAATTTGCATTAACGTTCATACCAAGGTACTTACTCTTTCTCTTGGTTGACCATTCACACCGATTCTTTCAATTTGCTGTTACTTCTTAGGTCATCATCCATTTTGTTTTCTTAATTTTCAATGAAAGTCCATATCTTTGACTCACTTCTGTGATTCTATTTAATAATTCCTGGAGGGGTTTATTACTGTCAGCGAATACCACCGTGTCATCCACGTATTTGATGATTGTGATACATTCTACGTTAATTCGAGTTTCGGCTTCAATATCCTCTACTGCTGCTTAGAAGATTTTCTCAGAGTATATGTTAAATAATAAGACTGATAGTATATATCCCTGTTTGACTCGTCTAACAAGGATGAATCCATTGATATTGAGATCATTGGATTCTCCTGCCTCTGTACGGAAAGAATATGTTTGATTCCAGTCTGATTCCAGTCTGATTTGCGTCTAATCTGTTGTAAAGTATCTTTAGGAAAATCTTAGAGTGTGTCTCAGACTAATTAGTTAATATTCTGAGCATTTTGTAGCATTTTATTTTTTAGGTATGGAAATTGAAATTGAAAATTTCATCTCCTTGGGTACCAAACCAAATAAACGAAGCTACATTCACCGTTTCCAAAGAATACTCCAATCTAGATAACCATTTGAAATGTGGGAATTAAATTATGGATTCAAACAAAATAATAGTTCGTCTCCAGGGATGGACTGTATATTATACTCTATGTTATACTTTTTACCCACAGAATACAAATCACTAAAAACTCTAGAGAGATTAATCAAAAATCAGCTTGAATACTGGCTTGAATCCGAAGATATCCTACCCAAATCTCAATATGGCTTCTGGAAATCCAGGTCTACACAGGATGCTCTCACTTTACTAGTTTCCTCTGTTCAGGTCAATTTCACAAATCAAGAATCAACAGCTGAAGCATTTATAGATGTAACCTCTACATTTGATAACATAAATTTATATATTCTACATAAAAAATTGTTATATCTTGGTATGCCAGTTAAAATTTTAGATTTCATTATATCCTTATACAAGAATAGATGGACTTACTTAAAAATAAATGAGACTCTTTTAGCGCCAAGGATAACGAATATAGGTATACCACAGGGCAGTATTTTAAGTCCACTTCTTTTTTTATTGTATAATATAAATCTAGATCAGAGAGTACCTCCACACTCTAATCTAATATATTGCAGTTTGCAGATTATGTTGTGTTGCATACCTCACATACTACCCTTGAGATTTGTAGGTGTCAACTCGAATCTGTACTAGATTGTGTAAAAAACTATTACCATTCTCTAGGCTTACCAATATCAACTACAAAGACTGAAATTTGTTTTTTTTTCCAAAAAACGCCAAACTCCTCAAGGTAACTTTAAACTAGGAAAAATAGAATTTCCAATCAAAAATTGTGTAAAATATCTAGGCACATATTTGGATCGTAAACTGTTATGGAAGGATCAAATTCATTCTATTATAAAAAAAATCGGAAAACTCCATAAATATCCTTAGAGCATTTTGTAAAACCAGTTGGGGAGCTGACCCGAATATTGCATTGCTATTGTATCGCTCAATGATTCGACCAATTTTCGACTATAGTTGTCATTTATATGGGTCTGCGTCAACAGACATCTTAATAAAACTGAAACCCAAAAGAATAAATGTTTGAGGCTATGTTTCGATTACTTAAAATCTACTCCTATTAGTATTATTGAAATAGAAGCTAAAGAATCCCCTTACACTACGCAGACAGTTCTTTACAGATAAGTTTGTAACTAGAGCTATATCAAAAAACTTCAGCTATTTAAAAAATATGTGTAACTTGAATATATCAGACTTAAACCATAAATATTGGCGTAACAAAAAAACTCCCATATACGTTGAAAGTTATAGGAAATTAACAATATTTGAAGAACAAATGTATCAAAGTAAAATACCACCAATTTATACACAACCTCCTAAGACTCTCTTCTCTAAGATAAAAGAAACATATTATATGAATTCAAATCTTCCAGGATATATGATCAATAAAATAATTGAAGATAAGTGGCCTGCATCTCAATATATTTTTACTGACGGCTCTAAAATTCAAAATAAAGTGGGTTGTGCAATATATCACTGGAATGCTGATTACAAAGCATCATGTCGATTGCCCAATGAAGCTTCAATATATACTGCCGAACTATCAGCTTTATTTCTTGCGTTAAAATATATAGCCTCTATTGGAATGAATCATTATATCATTCTGACTGATTGTAGAAGCATTATGGACAAACTCACTTCTATGAAAACCACAAAATACTTAAACCATATTGAGATAGAAATCAAGAAGTTACATTATGATATTATTTCCGCAGGTAGTTCGATTATTATTTGTTGGGTAAAAGGACACTCTGGAATATTAGGAAATAAAGAAGTCGACAAATTAGCTAAATCTGCAGCTTTAACCAAACATAATATAAACAACATACTTCTTCCAGTAGCAGACATAGATAATATGAGTAGAAACAACTGCAAACAAAGATGGCAACGTTTATACAACCAAAGTACAACTGGAATCAACTTTAGAGCTTGCCAACCTCTAATACCCAATGAAAGATGGTTCAAATATGAGACAAACAGGTTATTTATAAAAACAATAAACAGAATAAGATCAAACCACGCACTCACTCCTGCATACAAACACAGCATAGGCCTCACTGATAACCCATATTGCTTGTGGTAAAGTGGAAGATCTGCAGCACCTTATATTGGAGTGTGGACAGTACAAACAAAGTATCAAAATGATGTATGAAAAGCTAATTGAGCTAAATTGTCCATTGCCTGTCAATTTGAATACAATTATTTTTTCAAATAATAAGCAGATATTAAAATGTATCTACGAATACATAACGTCCTGTAAATTTAAATTATAAGTAGTTTTAGGTATTCAAATTAAAAATTGTAAATATGTCAAAAATTTAATGTATATACTAACATATTACTTCCTGTAAAATTATATTATAAATAGGCTTAGGTAATAAATCAAAAATTGTAACTACCACAAATAATCTGGCTAATTGTCTATGCCAAAGCCATTATACAATAAAAAAAAGGTATGGAAAATACATGGAATATGTGATACATTAAAGGAAGAATAAAAGACACATGGACTCAAAATATATATGTGTAAGACTCAATACTTATGTATTGCATACGAGGTTCCAGATTTGTACTTAAGTTTAGAAGAGGAGACGATTAAGAGTTGTAAGACTTTTAGTATTTACGGTCAATGATATACCAAGATGATACTTGTAAGAAAGATATAGAAATAAAAATAGCAGAGAGAAAACAATCCACGAAAACACTCCTTGGAGTGATATTAAATAATACTCTAATCAAAGAAAAAAAGAATCTTTCAGAGCAAAGTGCTGAATATTACCCTATATGAAGCGGAAGTATGGCCAGTAACAACAACAATACAAAATAGCGTAAGGACGGTTGAATTGAACTTTATAAGAAGATGTTTACAAATCACCAGAGATGATAGAATGGTAACTAGTAATTGTGATAATGAATAGTGAGAGAATAAAATGCTGTGGAAGAAAAAGACTCATACTGGAAAAAAGCCTAAGAAGAAGAAGATAAAGACGAATTTATTAATTTCTTAATAGAAATAAGCCAAATGCGACCATACCACCACCATACACCATTTTGGTTGAAGATAGCAATAATTTAACATGTATAAATTATAAATAATATTGTTTAATAATTTAATAAATTAATAAAGTGTTGAACAGAAATAAAGTGTTTTATTAATTCCAGATTGAAAAATCAAGAACATTAGGCCAAAAATTTTATAACTACGTGATGCCGTTTTACTAAGGTTTCATTATATATTCCAACAACAGATACCTTAATCGAACAAAAATTACTTAATAGATAGTTATATAAAAAGAATTAAACTGTATATTTAATTTACATACAAAAAATTAATCTAGACGAAACAAAATACATTTGACTTACTTTTAAGTTCCAATCCATCAGCAGTACATTTTCCTTTCTCCAAGAGACAATTAACATAATTTAAGAGCAACCGGTCACTTTTGATTATAGTGTCAAGATCAACATTATCATATTTAGTTGTGTATTTTTGTGCATTAACGAAGGCCAATGCAGCCACTGTGACAATAAGGACAATTGTTTTCATTTTGTGTCGAATATTACTCTGATATTACGATAAGAAGGAGGGTATTTATATTTGCAATTAACATTCGTATCGGGAAGGAGAAAATTGTTACAGTTTTTTCTAGTCCATCATGATAAATAATTGCACTTAATCTGCATAAAATTTATTCCCTTTGTTGTCAGATTTTTATTACATTTTAATTGATTTCTTTGGAATACAATTTAATTCCAGAACAGATTATAATAGAAAATAGCGATTACGGCTATAAAACTAATACGATAATTTCATAATGAGTATTTTTTTATGAATTATCCATATTTTTATTAAATTAATAAAAGTTAATGATTTGCAGTTGTTATAAGGAAAATATTAAAATAAAAAATAAGAATTTTGAGCACGGGAACAAATAAGCGTAAAAATAAAAAGAAATCTTTGATAACATAAGGGTTATAAGTCAAGAAAATAAAGTTTTGAGAAAAATCGAGATACAAAGTAGCCATACTTTTCAAACATAAGTTTAACAAATTAGGTTAATTGCCAAAATTTTATTTTCTGGGAATTAATTGATATTTATAGAACACCGCCAATTGCCAACTTTATTTATTTGATGTAACAATGATTTTTGAAAATAAATACACTTATGTACATTGACACAATAAGAACATGAAAGTACTAAAAATATGTAAATCCACTGGCAGGAATAAAATCATGAAGATAAAAGATGACCGTTGAACATTGTGCTCGCATAAGGAAGAGATCGTTAAAGAAATCCGTAAATTTTATAAGAAGCTGTATACTTCTCCTTTTCCAAACCCCGGTATACCAACAAAACATATCTTAAATGTGGGCTTAGGGATCTCCCTGAAATAATAACATCAGAAATTAGAGCCGCCCTAAATCAAATGAAAAATGGGGAAAACACCAGGAGAAGATAAAATTACTTCAGAGATGCTAAAAATGGGAGGCACTGCATTAGAAGAGGCAATGAGAGCATTACTGAATAAATGCCTATTGGAAGGACAAATACCAAAAGCATGGAAAAATGCGGAAGTCATTCTACTTCATAAAAAAGGGGACGCCGCAAATATAGAAAACTACCGACCAATAAGCTTATTGTCACACCTTTACAAACTACTAACCCGAATAATAACAAATAGATTGACAGCTAAGCTAGATGCATACCAACCAGTGGAGCAAGCAGGCTTTCGTAAGGGTTTTAGCACTATCGATCACTTGCAAACAATCCGGACAGTTATTGAAAAAACAATAGAGTACAACATACCACTACATCTGGCATTTGTCGATTATCACAAAGCATTCGACAGTATCGAGAAATGGGCTTTCTTACAGCATTGGACGACGCCAGAGTAGATTCAAGATATGCTGCCCTCCTTAAGAATATATACGATGATGCTACTTTTCACGTAAAAATATATGATGATCTGGAAACTATGAAAATAGACCTTGGCAAAGGTGTGAGACAGGGCGACACCATCTCACCCAAGTTATTTACTTTGGCATTAGAAAATGTCTTCAAAAAACTAAATTGGGCCGAAAAGGGATTAAAAATAGATGGAGTATATCTTAACCATTTGCGTTTCGCAGACGACATAGTACTAATAAGCACAGATATCCATGAACTAAAATCAATGCTACAAGATTTAAATCACAAATCGAATCAAATAGGATTAAAAATGAATCTCGACAAAACAAAGATATTAAGCAACAGCCTAGAAAACATCACGATAGATAACATCAATATAGAAATGGTAAAATATTATATATATCTAGGACATGCAATTAAAAACGAAAAGGAAAATCAAACGCTAGAAATTAAAAGAAGGACACAATTGTCATGGGTTGCTTTTGGTACGTTGAGCGCTATTTTAAAAGACAGAAAAATCTAAATTCACTTAAAACGAAAAACCTATGACACTTGTATACTATCTGTTGCAACTTATGGATTGGAAACTATGGCAATACCAAGAAAAATGACAGAACAATTAAGAGTCACTCAACGGGCCATGGAGACGGCCATATTAAATAAATAAGCCTCAAAGATAAAATTCCCAACACCGAAATACGTCGAAGAAGTAAAGTAACCGACATCATCGGAAAAATAGCGACATTGAGATGGCAATGGGTAGCACATGTAGCAAGACAAGACACCAACAGATGGTCTCATAAAGTGACATTCTGAAGACCTCGAGAAACAAAGGGAAGCGTGGGAAGACCCAAAAAGAAATGGATAGACGATATAACAGCTGTAGCCAGAAAGCAGTGGATGAAAATTGCAAAAGATAGGGAAGCGTTTATGAAAGCGAAGTTTATGAAAATTTGTAAAAACAACTATAATACTAACGAAATCTTGATAGTAGAGGGCCAGCAGGTCGAAAGAGTAAAAAAGTACACTTACCTAGGAACACTTATAACAGAAAATAATGACTACACGGCAGAAATCAAAGTCAGAATCGAAAAAGCACGTTCTAATTTTATAAAAATGAAAAAGGTCCTATGTGGCAAAGATCTAACATTAGCTCTTAAAGTACGCCTAACAAAATGTTACGTATACAGTGTACTATATTATGGAGTGGAATCATGGACGTTAAATCTAGATACCATGAGACGACTTAACGATTTTGAGATGTGGACCTATAGAAGAATTATGAGGGTTTCCTGGGTAGATAGAGTTACAAACAATGAAATACTGAGAAGAATAGGCAAAGAGAAGGAAATTGAACTTACAATTAAAGAAAGAAAGCTACAGTATCTCGGACATGTGATGCGGGGCTATAAGTATGGCATCCTGCGACTCATAATGCAAGGAAAAATAGATGGCAGAAGAAGCATCGGAAGAAGACGAATTTCATGGCTGAAGAACCTGAGAGAATGGTTTGGATGCAGCTCAAAACAACTATTTAGAGCTACTGCCTCAAAAATTAAGATAGCTATGATGATTGCCAACCTCCGTAGCGGAGATGGCACCTGAAGAAGAAGAAGGGAAGCGTGGAAGCAATTGGAGGAGGCCTATGTCCAACAACGGATACATGAAGGCTGAAGAAGAAAAGTCCATTGACACAACAAAATAGATCTACTTATCGTTTTATCCATTAAAATAGAAATGACTGTAGACCTGAGTTTTACTCTCTTCTTCTCATCTACTTTCGAAGGTTGGCAATCCAAATGGTAATTTTAGTTTAGGAAACTACTGCGCGAAAGATTTCTGCGGATGAGCTGCTAAACTATCCCCCCAGGTCTTTCAGCCACGAGTTCTAGCGTCTTCCTACTAATCTTTTGTCCAGTACTTTTCCTTCCAGTATAATTTGAAGTAATTCATATCTTTCGCCTCTCAACACATAACTCAAGTATTGCATTTTTCTCTCTTTGATTATTCTTAGTCATTCTTTTTGTTTATACATATTCATAGACATATATACATATACATATATTCTTTTTTCTATTTCAGAGTCGATTGTCCCACTTTCACAGCCATACAGCAAGACAGAAAAATCGTAACATCTAATCATCTAATGTTGTGTGCTCTATTTCAATTGTTGTTGTTTGGTGCCAGTATAGTTCTGAGATAATTCTCAAAACTTGTTCGTCAACTACACTTGTTCTTAGAATTTTGATCATCTTTTGATGGTTAACGCCATCAACTGCTTTTCGATAGTAGGTAAAACATACATATACATCTACATGCATGTCTCTGCATCGCTGCGTAAACACATTTAAAGCAAAAAGAGCCTCTCGTGTTCCCGATTCTTTTCGAAATCCGAATTAAGTGTCATTCATCTGGAACTCGCACTTCTTGTAAATTCGTGTATGGATAATTCTGAGAATAGTTTTCAGGCAAAGTTATGAGACATCAAGCTAAATATTCGATAATCATCGTTTATGATCTCTTGCGTTATCCATGCTTGTTTTTTGTTGTTTTTTAAGAACCCGATGTCTTCTTCTTGTATCTTTGTTATTTTTGTTTTTAGATCAGTCCATGTTACTTTAATGTCTGTCTGTACCAAGTTTTCGATCGTTGTTATTCCTTCCTCAAGCTTGATACTTATTTCTTTTTTCTGTTCAGGGTTTTTCAGTTGTCAGATATCTATTTTTCTTGTCACTATTTTCTTTTTGACTTTGAGAAATCCTTTTAATCTAAAATCCATTATAACTGGATTGTGATCACTATGTATATCAGCTCCAGGGTATATTTTCGTAGATTCTATGTACTTCTTAGAGATAATTCTTAGAGATAAGTCTATCTCCTCTATTATTCCTGGTACTAAGACCGTATGCTCCTATGTAGTCTCCTTTAGCACCACGACCAATTTTAGCGTTAAAGTCACCCAAGACCATCGTTATCTTACCTCTTTGTGTCAGTCGCTTATTTCATCTATGTTATTATAAAATTTTTCGATTTCTTTGTCTGACTCGTCACTTATTGGAGCACAGACCTGAATAATATTTAGTTTTCTGTGAGTTGTTTGTAATTTTAACGTTGCTACTCTATCATTTAGAGGGATGAAGTCTGTGACTGATTGAACAGTTTTATTCGACACTAATATAGCAGTGCCATATTGATGTTCTGGGTCGGTTCCACCTGAATAATATATGTATCCATGTTTTGTTTTTTGTACTCCTAAATCAGGCCATCTTACTTTTCTTAACTCCAAGATGACTATTTTAGGCTTACCATCCCGGCTTCAGTGTTTGGTACGTTTGCGTACGTTCCAGGTGGAAATTAGTACTATTCGATCGTATATTTGTATTCTCTGTTAACTTTCTTTGGTAGTTGATGGGGGGGATTCTTCGCACCCTCTACCCATTTAAGGGTGCCCCGAACTGAGGGCCATTTTCTTTTTCTCGTCTGCCATTTAGATTTGTGGAAAATATGATGGGGTGGTTATCCCGTTGCCTTCCCCATCGCAGTACCACAACCATTTAAACTTTTCCAGTCATGCTTGTGGTAATCCAGTTTTAAGCTGGTTCAGGATCATTTCTTTTACGCCTTAAACTGGTACTGATAATAGCTGCTGCCCTTCAC